AAACATCCTGCCCGGAGAATAGGATCTGCGTGTGGCAAGCTACGGGACAGAAACCGTTGGAATGTTTACTGCCACGTGCCGCTACAAATCTTTCTTTTAAGGAGAGCTATAGGATTACTCAATGCCTTTGTTAGAGAGAGATGTTAGATAGAAACAAATACAATTGGTTAGAATGACGGCAAATCGTTTAGTTACAACTGTAGATTTTAATTACAATGTTTTTATGGATTTTCCCGAGGTTTCAGAGGGAAGGCACCGGTGTCCTCTTATCTCCGACATATATATCCTGGCACCTCAAGACCTAAAGTTGGGGAAACCCGGAAAACAGGGGGACACCGCAAGAATCGCTCCCGAGATGGTGTACAATCCTCTCGCCATCCTGATAGTTATCGTCCGGTGCAGCCTCCCAACCAGCTGAAGGCTAAGACGATTGGCCATCACGTCCCGGGCCCAGATTGGAGCACCATACAGGAGCCTCGATCGCATCACCCCAGCGTACAGCCGTCGCACTCCAACACCCGGCCCGCTCCGTGAGGACAGCAAGCGCCCTAAGGCATTTGCCGTCACCTCAACAGAGGACATCAGGCCATCAAAGTGGGCGCCGAAGGCCCAGCGGCTGTCGAGAATAAGCGCCAGGTATTTCACTTGGAGGACACCTCCAGCCCCTACCCTAATCGTGGCGGCCACGCCCGGCACCACCACTTTCGCTTCGCCAACGCCACACGGAGTTCTCAGGCGATCACCTATCCAAGTACTATCCGTGCTCGGCGCTGCTTAACTTTCCTGATCTGACGGGAACGAGTGCACTCGGCGCGGTAAGGGCGTTGGCTCAACCTCGAGGCTAACTTCTTGGCAACCCCCTTCCACAGGCAGGCAGGCACATCACCCGAACCTGAGGCTTTAGGCATCCCCATTCTCCCGACTGCACCAGTCAACTCCCCCTCGAAGACCCACCGTTCCGGATTCCTCCACGCGCGGAGTATCCTGGGATCGCGGCAGCTCTCCGCCCTTGAGAAAGAAACTGCCGATGACCACATCTTGAAACTGAGGGTCCATTCCCTCCGTCGTAGCAAGCGATCAAGGGCGGAGTTTATTCAACACCGCCCTGTACAGGCGGCCCCCGTTGCGGCCCCCGTTCCGGCCCCCGTGGGTCGGAATCCAAGGTGACCAGGAGCTCGTCCCAGGCCCGTCTCTTTGCCATCAAAATGGCCCTGTGGAGGACGATTAAACGTGTTGTTGATTAATGACTAGACGAGTTGGATACTGTAAATTCGCACGTTCGTGGGGAGATGCGATCTCGAAGAAGCGTGCCAACGGGAGTAGTAAATTCCCGTTACGATTGACTAATCGACGCCACGAATCGTTCGATCCCTTATTTCTTGTGGGATAATAAGGGTAGTTAAATTGAAGATAACGCTATTAACAGGTTATTATATATTTGCACAATCTAACAACTTCGGTGTAATACAAAATGAATGGTTGATATAAGCTGACTACGAGGGAGTACGACCTGAGACTCTGTTCGTGTTTTCGCGTACGATAATGTATTGTGTCGACTGACTGTATTCGATTTGTTGACTGAATTGAGTTGATCCTTGGTGAAGACTGACTTAAGCAGATGTTTGATCGAGACTCGAATTACGTGCCTGTGTAGAATAAGTAGGTGACCTTTCTAATGATGTAGAAGAAGTAGAGTTGACCCTCCTGATGTCGTAGGAGAAGTAGTTAACTTGACTCTCCTGATGTCGTAGGAGAAGTAGTTGACTTGACCGATGTCGTAGGAGAAGTAAGTTACAGCGACGATGCTATGTCGGAGGAAAGTTGGCGATGGGTGTGTCTAGCGCACGGGACCATCGGATTTGTTCATGACGTTTTTGGTCAGGAAAGTGAGGGCAGTATGCATTGCTTGTGATTGGATAAACGGAGATTGGTGGACTAGAAAGGGTCTTAGCCGCCCTCGATAGAAAGTTGCTATTAGGAAGCATCGTACGTGAGAAACTAACTTTCCCTTGTCACGC